GTTATTACTGGTTATTGCTTCGACTGTTGGTTATTCGTTCGAATAGCGTCCCGTTTCTGTCTCATGTTGATCAATCCTCCGAGAAAGAAATTACGATATTACGCGAAGGAACGACCAAAGTCAACGGATCCTCGACGACAATCGCGAAGACGGTGTCCCTCCTGATGAGACGAAAGCGTTGGCGGATTGAAAGATTATTCGAGAGCGCAAGCGCGGCGAACGTGCAAATAGCAAGCGGGTGCACGTCACGGAGATCTGTACGCTGTACTTGCACACGAAGACTCGCATTCGGACACTTAGGTACGCAAATGCGAACACGGTCCGCGAACCGATTAATTTGCACGCATCCTCGATGATTTACGATCCTCCGTTTCTTTCTGTCGCACACCGACTTCCCTGCCTCCGTGTTCCTCGCGAAAAAAATCGACCCTCCGCGGCAGAGAAGTCGCAAATTGTTAGATCAAACAACCAGAAGTACCAAAGCGATCGGGCCGAGCTAAATACCGTTATCTCTCGTTTGCCTTCGAATTTTTCTCCGCGAGCGAGACCTTACGTTTTATTCCGTTGCCAGTGGCTTTGTCCTCGCGCGTGACGTTCCATCGAGAAATGAAGCGCGTTTTGACAAAACGTCCGGTCCGAGGAGCGAAATACCGAGAAGCTGAAGTGCACACGCCGGTAGGAAATCGAACGGAATTTTAGATAGTTGACGGTTGCTTCTATCGTTTAAAATTTAAATTCGCAGAATCACTGGATTCGTATCGTGCATTCCAATTACGCAATGGATTCGTTCGAATAAACCAAGTGTTCTCCCGTCTAAACAGGAAAGTTGCGTGAAAATGCATGAACACGAGGTAACCCGAGTAGCCCGGGACATTCGAGGAATGATAAGAAGTGAAACGGATGTGTGATTAACGACGAGCAACGTCACTAGGGTCTAGATTAGATATACGTGCCGACATGCTTGCGCTTGTTTTCGGTAGGAACCAAAATGGCGGAGTTTAGAGTAACAGGAAACAGTTGCCGTGCCACGAGACTGTAGTGAGGCTGTAGCAGTGAAGGAAAGTGATTTATTGTTAGAGGAAATGCTAAAATCCATGACGGTAAGCCACTCATTGAACGAATCTTTCCCTCGTAATAGGTAAGAAGGAACGACCACTTTGGTAATAAAGATCCGCATTTTTCTTTCAGTTGCTTTACCTGCCGTTGTAAGATATAAATTAGCTTCCCAGCTGTTCTTCGCTTGCAGATGCTTAGAAAATTATAAAATTTGTTCCAAAACCAAGGAAGGTTAATTGCAAATGTTTCAAGTGTCCAAGTATGTACCTTCACCGAATTTTTAATACCATTGAGCGAGGGTTATATGTGTATTTCGGGGGACAAAGTTTCTCCATCGAAAAGCTGAAATTCGTCATTTCGTGACAGGCAACGTGACAGGCAATCCAACAATGGATTTTTCCTTCAGCAACATGAAATTCTTAATCGAGAAACCGACAAACGCCTATTACCTTGGTGACAAAGACTGTTGCATTGTAGCGATTGGAATTTTGCGACGACGACGGTGTTCCAAGGGGAGAACACAAGCAATTTTTGCCAAATCGAAAACAGACATGGCGCCATCGAGTTCCACGTGGGTATCCGAAAGAGAAGAGAAGCATCGGCTCTCGTGAAAATTCTCGATGGACGATGAAAGACGACCCCTAGGTCTCCGCGTGATCTATCTAATCTCGTAGATCCGGGGGATCGATTGGTCGGAGGCGCAGTGAGAGGACGCCAGGCCGACACTGGTTTTCTAACGCAAAACGGGTTTATCGCGCGTTTATTCAAACACACGCGGAAATCCATCTGGCCGGAGTCTCGAGTGCCGATTTCCGTTGCTGGCGCGCTGTAATTGGAGGTTGCACGAGGAGACAGACAGAGGAGAACGATCGAGGGAGGAGGAGAGGCACGAAGGCACCGGGGCTGGCGAGCTAGGGGGTCGCTTTCTGCGTTCGTGGAGAAACGAAAGAGAATAATCAGAGACACACGCGTGGAAAGAAACAGAAAGAGAGAGAGAGAGAGGGAGGAAGGGAGGGATGGAGAGGAAAAAGTACGAAGAGAGGGGAGAGCAAACGAGAAGGGTGAGGTATCGGGTGCGCGAATAGAGGGGAGCTCGTAACCCGGCTGGTAACGCGACGCGATCCTCGATGGGGTGAAGGGGGAGTAGCGTGCTCGGCTCGTCGGTGTGCTCGGCGTAGTGCACTAGTGTGTCGGTACGTACCACGCTGGCCAAGAGAGAGGCCAGAAGCGCGCATAGAGGAGAGAGCGGAGAGAAAAACGACTCGTACAGGGAACGAGGAACGAGGCAAGCAGGCAGGCAGGCAGGCAAGTAAGCAAGCAAGCAAGCAGGCAGGCAGGCAGGCAGGCAGGAAAGCAAGCAGGCAGGCAAGGCAGACAAGTCGAGTAAGCCAAACCGGCACCACACGGACAGAGGCCAGGCAGGCAAGCGGGCAGGCTAGGCAGACTAGTCAGGCGAACAGCCGAGCGGAGAC